ATTATATTGCTGTCATCATCCACCCTCAGTTCATTCCATCTTGAGGTTACTTCCTTTCATTCCTGAAGAGTTTAGCACCTGGCTCTCTAAGTATAGTCATTCTCTCCAAAACTACCATTGTCATAATTGTTGATTTTAATATTCATTCCAATTAATCATTCCAGCACCTGTCCCTGTCGCTTTCTTTCTTCCAATCCTCTTGCCTTCACCCTACATTGGCCACTCACACTCATGGTCACACCTTGTATTAGTCTGCTAGGATGGCTGTAACAAAATACCACACAGAGTAGGTGGCTTCAGCAACAGAAATCTATTTTCTCACATTAATGGAATCTCACATCCAAGATCAAGATGTCAGCAGGTTTGATTTCTCTTGAGACCTCTCTGCTTGCTTTCAGATGGTCACTTTCTTGTGTCCTCCTATGGTCTTTTCTCTGTGTACAGGCATTCCTGGTATGTCTCTGTGTGTTCAAATTTCCTCTTATAAAGACACAAGTCAGATTGGACTATTGCCAACCCTACCAGCTTCATTTAAACGTAATCGCCCCCTTTAAATTGATTTCCAAAAATAGTCACATTCTGAGGTTATGGGGTTTAGGCCTTCAACATATGAATTTTAAGGACAAAATTTAGCTCATAACACACCTTTAGACTTTGTCTTCACCAATTCCTGAAACACCTTAATCTCAAATTCCAGGATCCAACTTCTCTAACACCATATTCTGTTCTTCCAGCTCTTTCTGTCTCTGCTACCCAAAGCAATCATTCTTTAACCACACTGGGATGCACAATATACAAATCCAACCGCCTTTTTTTACTGTTCCTCACTTTCTCTCCTGTCCTTACTTGCTTTCTTACTCAGATTAAGTTCCACAGCCTATCACTATAATCACTCTCATATATATATGAATATGTATATATTCATGATTTCTTTGCCCCTCTCTTAATGGCACTTGCCTGGCAAAGTCCCAATCCTGGTTAATTGCAGCTTTCTTACTACTCTACTCACACCTCTGCATCTGAACTTCACTAGGAAGAACACTCAACCATGCTGCCCAGACTTACTATAAATTCATAACCTCAGGGGGCCCTCAGTGCAGGCTAGCAATCCCGAAACATTTCTCTAGACCAGTGGTTCTCAACCTTCCTAATGCCGCAACCCCTTAATACAGTTCCTCATGTTGTGGTGACCACCAACCATAAAATTATTTTTGTTGCTACTCTATTAACTGTAATTTTGCTACTGTTATGAATCATAATGTAAATATCTTTTTGTTTTCCAATGGTCTTAGGCAACCCCTGTGAAAGGTTCGTTCGACCCCCAAAGGGGTCGCAACCCACAGGTTGAGAACCGCTGCTCTAGACTGTTCACCATCCAACTTTCTTAGGCAACTATTTCATACCTTTTTCTCTCTCTCTCCAAACTTCTAACACCTTCTCCCCATCCTCATTCTTTATTGTTTTACTGAAAAAGCAGAAGCAATCAGAAGTTCCCACTGCTTCTAATCTTATATGCTCTGTCTTCCCGTCTGTTACTCGGACTGAGCTGCCCACGTTGCTAAGGCCAGCTCATTCATCTATGCATGCACTCCCACCCCTTCCACTCACTCAAGGACTCCGCTCCAGTGATTCTCTCCTCCCACTAACATTGTCAATCCCCACCTCCCTGCAAAAACATTCCCATCAATATACATACATGCTAAACTTTTTCCCGTTAATTTTTTTTCCTTAACTCTCACTTCCCCTACAGCTACTGCCCCATTATCTTCTCTCCTTTACAACAAAACTCTGCAAAAGGGTTGCTTCTCTATGTTTCCAATTCTTCTCTTCCTGTTCTCTCATGAACCCATTCCAGCTGGACTGTAAAGTCTATCCCACCACTAAAGCTCCTCTTATCACGGTCATTGGTGACCTTCACACTGCTAAATCCAATAGCCAGTTCTCAGTCCTCCCGTATTACTTGCTCTATGGACAACATTTGACTCAGTTGATCACTTTCTCCTCAACTAGAAACTTGACTTCCAAGATAAGTTCCTGATTTTTCTTCTAATTTACTGGCCATTTCTCAGTCTCCTTTTCTGGCTCCCCTCATTTTCCCAAACTCAACATATTAGACTGCCCAGGGTTTAGTCTTCGGGTCTTTTTTCTACTTACACTCATTCCCATGGTGATCCATGGCTTTAAATACCATTTATATGCTGATGACTCTTCATATTTGTATATCTCATGGCTTAATTGGCACCTCCACTTGGATTTCTAGTGGGTTATCTCAAAATCTGGGGTACCTGAGACTGACCACCTCATCTTTCCCCTCTTAGACCTGCTTAATCTGCTGTTTTGCTCATTTCAGTTAATGACAACATCATTCTTCCAGTTGCTCAGGTCCTAAACTATATAGTCATCTTTGGCTGCTCTCTTCTTCTTACATTCAATTCAATCTGTCACCAAATATTGTTGGCTCTATCTTTAAAATATGTACAGAATCTAGCCTTTTCTCATCATCCCTGTTACTATACCATGGTCTGATCTACTATCATCCATAGTACCGCTGGATTGTTGAAATGGCTTCAGAACTCATCTCTGTCACCCATCCCCGTTACAATCTATTCACAACACAGAAGCCAGAGTGAACCTTAGTACTCATAAAGTCTTAATCAAAGCACCCAACTTCTTTTACCTCCTTTTTCTCAACAGTAAGAAAGATATGAATTTATTCCTGCTGTTATTTTTCAGAGGAAGAGAAAATAGATATGAACTTTTGGGAGGAAAGCTGTACTGGTGTTGTAACAATAAACTCCTATCAAGTCATTTTTCTCCTCAAAACTAATCTCAAATATCACTACTCTTCCCCTCCCTCCTTTTGCTCCAGCTGCAGTGGGCTCCTCACTGTGGCTCCCCTCTACCTCAGGGCTTTGGCATATTTGCAGGTCTCTCGGCATATCATGATTTTCTGCACGATCTCTGCATGGCTCACACCCTCCACTTTCTTCAGATCTTTGCTCAAATGTCACCTTCTCAGTAAGGTCTTGCCTGACACCCTGTTTGAAACGACATCCTCATCTTTATTCTCTGGCACTCCTAGTTGTTCTTTCCTGATTAATTTTAGCCACACTTATCACTAGCTGATAAACTATATGTTTTACTTATCCATTTTTTTTATTATTGTTTGTCTTCCCTATATTAGAATGTAAGCTTCACAAGGGAAAGGATTTTGAACTGTCTTGTTCACTGATCTCTTCTCTTCTCAGCTTTTAGAACAGTCCTTGGCACATAAGAGGTGCTCAATAAATATTCAACCCAAAATGTTATTGTCAACTATAATTATATATATATATATATATATATATATATATATATATATATATATATATATATAGTCACAGGATGTGGAATATAGTGTGGGGAGTGGAGTCAATGGAGTTGTAATAGATATGTATGATGTCAGTGGGGGAAGGTGGTGGATTGGGGGAGGGAGGTTGTCACTTTGTGAGAAGTGAAAAGTATAACTTTTGTATTGTTTTGTACACCTGAAACTAGTTTTAAAAAATGTTATTGCTCTCCTTATCATCCCAAGGGCTCTAATAAGTAGGATTTTAGGTTTTAGGTTGTTTCTATGTCCCTGGGGCGGGGGGGGGGGTAGGGTGGGGGAGGGAATATAATAACAAGACTTTGTTGGTGCACTTTGCTCAAAAACACTACAGAAAAAAAATTACATCCATCAGGGGTGCCAAGAAACCTCTTGGAACCCATTATAGTATAAGACTGCTAGTTTCTGGGTTTATTTTGTTTGAATCCAAAGTGGTTCCAAATATCTCAATTTAAAAAAAAAGTATAATACAATTTAAAATTATGTGTGTAAAAATAAGTTTTTATTGTCTTGAATTAAAAGTATATATATTATAGGGTATTAATACTTTCTGGAGGACAATAACAAATTAAATATAAATATTTCTGGGATCAAGATTTTAAGAGTTCATGACACTGAAATCTTTCAGTACCGAAAGGAGTAAATGGGCAAACTGTACTTCTGAGGCCTGTTTTATTTTGGTAAATATATTCCTATAACTTCTCTTTTTATTATTAATGATGGCTTCCATTTATTGCCTGCTTTTTCTGATTACCACCTGACACTGTCCTTTGCACACATAATTTCATTTAACCCTCACATTATCCTTGTAGGGGAGGTACATTTTTAAAATTCCCATTTCACAGCTAAGACAGTTGAGACTGAAGAAAGTTAAGTCAAGCAGAGTTCTGAGGTTACCAGTAGAAAGGGTTGGCAATGAGGTCAGGCAACTCTTGAATTCTTTACTACACTAATTACATTATCTTTAACATATTAATGCCAAGTTTCCTTCCCTTATCCTCTCTCATGTCATCATAATTAGAGGGGATTGTGGCTCTTTAAATTTAGGGCAACGATTTGGAAGGGAGAGTTCTTAAATCCTTGTTTCAAACATATTACTCATAAAGTCTTAATCAAAGTACCCAACTTCTCTTACCTCCTTTTCCTAAACAGTAAGAAAGATATGAATTTATTCCTGCTGTTATTTTTCAGAGAGGGAGAGAAAATAGATATGAATTCTCGGGAGGAAAGCTGTACTGGTACTGTGACAATAAACTCACCAACTGTGATGTCTTGTTTTTACTCAGCCACCAGCCTGTCCCTTTCTTTGTCTTTTTTGTGCTCCCTGAAATTTAAACAATGCTTGATCAATGTGAAATAGTGAGCACAACACTAAAGAACATTGAATAAAAGACATCTATAAAGTCAGGATATTTGAGCAAACGTACCACATACCATGCTCTAATATAAGCAACCCTGGTAGTTTTCTCTTAGTCTGCCTGTTCACTGGTGGATGAAATTTACCAGACTCAATGCCAACCCCCACCCCAACTTCCTTCTTCAAACATGCTCAGGGTTAAGTCTTTAGGGCTCGAATCCACAGGAAAATGACTTATTTTAAAAGCAGTAAAAACACCGCATTCCTTTGGCACAGGATGAAGACCAGCTCAGCTCTTCGGCAGTAGATCATTGTCTATTGTTCTCCAAACAGTAAACTACTATTTCACACTGAGAGACTGTGGGCTGCAGTTCTGTCTGAGTCCTGGGCTCCTCATGAATATGAAGTAAAGGGCTCTGACCCAGAAAGTGGCAGGTAATTTAAAAAAAAAAAAAAAAGACAGGTAGGAAGTAAAACAGGCTTTATGTAACTCTACACTCTTGAAATCCCCTGCAGGTTCTGAGCAGAGTAAAATGGGGTCTCGGAAATGTGGAGGCTGCCTAAGTGGTCTGCTGATTCCGCTTGCACTTTGGAGTATAACTGTGAATATATTATTGTACTTCCCAAATGGGCAAACTTCCTATGCATCCAGCAATAAACTCACCAACTTCGTGTGGTATTTTGAAGGAATCTGTTTCTCAGGTGTTATGGTAAGTGTGACTGGAGACTTGGGGTCACAAAAGGGGGCGTTTGTTTTTTACTAAGAATTGCTTTGTTCCTAGTAAAAATAATGAATAATGGAAAAATCATTCTACTAATCCTGGTTTGGGATTTGGAACCTGGGTGGGGGTAGAAAAGCTGGCAGTCCCTTAGGATTTGGAGAGTAGCTTTGTTTTCCGTAAACTGCTCATTTATGTAGCTTCAGCAAGCAATGCAGGAAATTAGTCCTAATGAAAGTTTGTGGGACTCTGACAGTAGAAATATTAGGTCCTCATGAAGTCTACATGTCAATTTAAGTTATTTAATCTCCAGTAGCATTGTTCTTTTCCAGAGCAGATTTTCTACCTGCACTCGCAATTTCTCTAGCCTGGTATTAAGACAGCGTGGAAAAGCAGAGACTTGGAGACTCAGACAAATTTGCATTCAAATCTAAGCTCTGTCGTTTGTACCATGAGACCTGGAGCAAGTTATTCAATGTAGTCAAGCCTCCTCGGTGTCCTCATTTAGAAAATGGGAATAATGACTTTTACTTTTCAGGGTCATTGTGGGGATTAAATAAAATCTCATGTATGAAATGCCCAGGACAGAGACTGATTTGGAGTAGGTAGCCAATGACTATTGTGATTATAAATACTTTTGGAAGGAGGGGCCATATCAGTGCTAAATAGTCTGACATTATACCCCTAATAATAGAGGATGTTTTTGAAAACTAAATCAAATTATGTACAGTAAGAATCCATGAATATTTTCTTGGTGATTTTGTGCTTTTTAAAAGCAAGTAAATCATGTTGACAACTCAGAGGAAGAGACACTTTTCCTGATCATATCACTGCTAAAAATAGCACATTGTACACTGTAAGCTTATTATGTCACTGATAACTAAAAGAAAGTCCATTATAATCCACCTCTATGTCTTTGTGGGTGTTTAATTATTATAATATTTGAATAGCTATGTTGGAAAACAGTTTTCATGTTGTTACTCTTTTGCATATTAAAGTAGTAAAGTTTAAAATATTAACATCCAATGCGATTGAAGCTGATAGGTGCACAGCAAAGGGTGGTGGTGGGTCTATAAATAAATGCAAACATTTTGGAGAAGATATTTGAAATGACATATATTAAGATTCATGGGAATGCTTTTGTCATTTGACTCAGTAATCCTAAATAAGAGAATTCATTCTGAGGAAATATTCCAAAATAAGGAAAGAGAAGAATACACAAATGTTTGTGGAAGCAATATTTATAATATAAATAACTAGAAGCATCCTAGCATAGAAGTAGTCATAAATTATAGTACATTCACTTCATATGTTGATGAAAGTTGTAATTATGAAGATGTAACAACATGGAAAATGAATATTATTCTGTAAGTGAAAAAAGATATAACAAAATTGTGACTAAATTAAGATTGCAACTATAAAAGATATATGTATATATGTGGGAAAACACTGGTGATAAATACATGAAAACATGCAAGGGTGGTGGAATTAAGAGTAATTTTCCTCCATTATTCTTGAGCTGTACTGCAGTTATATTTTATAACAGAAAAAGAGAGTAGTTTCTCTTTCAAAACAGGCTGTGCCTGTGTTTCTCATTTGGCACAAGACTCTGGGATCTAAGTCTAAATATTTCTACCAATATTATAATGAAGCTAGTTACTGTACCTGGTTTACTATGCCTTATCTCATCATTATTTCCCTCAATAAGTAATTGCAATAAATGCAAGAGTTGTAAGGCATTATTGGGTTGAAGTCTATTAAAATCTGTGATAACTAATGGTGTTGAAATGAGGGGAATATAAGATTCTTTTGCTTATAGTCCACGTAAAATTTTAAACCAGGGAAATAACCTGTTCTCCATTTTTCATTGTTTAAGATTTAAAAAAAAATATTATTGTTACTGCATCAAATCCTTTTAGAAGAAAGGAAAGGAATACAGATAAATAATGAAATGGATATATAAATAAATAAAGCCTGAACAAATAAATTTGGAAACTGGAGATATTGACTACTAACAATAAAATAACCATGAACTTAGCTTCAAGATTCAGTGCTGAGCAATGGGAGTAAAAGATAAGTAGAGTATTTGTCAGAAGCAATATATGGTCCATACCTACCCCAAAGAGGAATTATAATAATCAAGAAATTCATGTCTTTCCAGAACAAAAATAAAACCTTTTGCTTAAGATACCAAAAAAATGGGAAGTAGAATACACTGAATTATCCCAGTTAGTTGGCTTAATACAGAAAAAACATAGGAAAATTTGAACCTGAGATCGCTTAAGTGCATGGGGAAGTTGAACTTGAAATTACTTTACTTTGAATTAAGAGGTGCAGTTTCAGATTAACCAGGCCTCTCACCTCCATTCCCAGACAGCAGTATATTGAGAGAGGCTGGCAAACTGCAAAGTCTGAATGGTTTTCCTTTGTCTTCCACAACTGGGTCAGTGAGAAATGCAGACTTGCTGCCCAGGGTGGTATTTCCATGTCCCTATCATTCATTTCTCTTCACTCTTTAGCTTTTGATAGCTGATCTGCCATGATAATGATAGCTTACATTTATTAACTACTCTGAATCAAGCACTATGTTAAAAATTTTACATATATTACCTCATAACAACCCAATGAGGTGAGTTCCCAACACCGTTTTATATGAAGGACTCTTGAGTTTACACAGCTAGAAAGTGTTGGAGCTGGGATTAGAACCCAGGTCTGCCTGAGCTAGAGTCTATGCTTGGAATCACTGCTGTAATTAAAAATATGAATGTAAACTAGTATCCCATTTCTGATATTTTCTCTCTTCCCTACTGCAGATGCTTATAGTAGCAGCAGTTCTTCTTGTACTGGAGAATGATAACAATTATAAATGTTGCCAGAGTGAAAACTGCAGCAAAAAATACATGGTAAGAGCAATAGTTTTTTGAAAATGGTTGAATGGGCTCTAGCTTTCTTTCCTCTCACTCAGAAACTCAAAAATATAAACAATATCATACGCTCACCATGATCCCTTCAGTTCAGAGCCCAAGAGTTTACTCCCAAAATTATCTTCTATTTTGTTTACTACCTTTCCTTCACCTTTATTCTGCTGAAGTTCTTCCAGAAATTCAGGATTTAAAAATACATGAAATTAGAAAGTAATACTACCTTTTTCTAGCTGGGTTTCTGTGAGTCTATTTTTTTCTTATCAACTTTATTTTGAGGACCAATTTACATCTAATAAATAGCATTCATTAAAAGTGTATAATTCCCTGAGTTCTGACAGTTGAATACACCCATGAAATCACCATCAGAGGCAAGAATCAGAATATTTCCATTACTTCCAAAAGATTGATTTTGATTTGAGTTTTAGCCTTATAGATTATTTTATGTTTTACATCAACAGAATCATATGGTATTTGTCTTTTATATCTGGCTTCTTTCAATCAGCATAATGATTTTAGGATTTATCCATGTTGTGTATATACAATGTACATTTTATTTTTTAAAGATTTTATTGGGGAGTTGGGGGAGAGGAACAGCGCTGGGGAATTGGGGGAAGGGGAACAGACAAGTTGCTTTCGTTTTGTTCTTCAGTCTAGTTGTGGAGGATGTTGCTTCACTGGCCCAAGCTGGCACCGTCATTGCGCTCTTCCCGGGCGAGGCAGATCAGTCGCCGGTCTCTGGACGGCCACTCACTGCGGCTGCTGGCCACTCACGCTGGCTGCTGGCCACACACGGTACCTATGGCAACCCACTGCCACAGGGGCTGCAGCCTACGCCGTCGCCGGTGACTCATGGCAGCTCAGCTCCAGGTTGAGCTGTTGTTCAGCATCTTAGCTGTAGAGGGCAGTGTCACTGGCCCTCATATGTGGGATCCGAACCGGGGCCCTCTGGCATCCCAAGCCAGTTCTTAACCAACGCACCACTCAGCTGGCTCTACAATGTACATTTTTAAATCAGAACTTTAAAAATAATTAAAATAGACTCAAGAGACAATAATATACCCAAATTTTCTAAGCCTATGCTGAACAGGCATGCACTGGGCTTCTACCTTTCCACCAGTATCCTTTTCCTCCTCATCATCATTGTCACTGTTTATTCATATTTTCATAGCACTTTATAGTTCTTTTATATTTAACCAGTGAATTAGATCATTGTTATTTTTATTTTGTAGATGAGTCACCTGTGGCTCAAAGAGAACATGTGACTTATTAACTAGGAGGAGCTTTACCAGAGGTCTGGTGGGCATTCTTTGAAGCAGTAGTTCCACAACTTGGCTGCACATTGACACCGTCTAGAGTTTGGAGTTGGAATCCAACCCCCAGAGTCCCTGACTTAGTTGGTCTGAGGTGCAATCAGATTTTAATGTGCAGCCAAGATGCTTCTTTAACTAATGCCTTTGGAAAATTAAATTAGTTGCTTAATTTAGCACTGAGCATCTAGTGGAGAAGAATTGAAAAATTAAAATACTGTGTGTTTGTGTGTGTGTGTGTGTGTGTGTGTGTGTTCTTAACCAACTTACTCATATATTCCCCAGTAGCTACTGGTGATATACATATGGAAAATTGCCTAAGTGAAGCAATAGATTCAAGTAAATTTAAGCTATGACACTCAGGAAATTTCTAGGAAATAAATGTATATGCCAATAAAAGTCAATGTGTTCAATTTTGTCAGATGCTTTTTCTGCATCTCTTGATATGATCATATGATTTTTATTATTCATTTTGTTTATGTGGTGTATCATGTTAATTGACTTGTGGATATTGAACCAACATTGTATTTTGGGAATAAATCCCACTTGATCATGGTGCATGATCTTTTCATTGTGCTGCTGAATTCAGTTTGCTAATATTTTGTTGAGGATTTTTGCATCTATTTTCATCAGGGATATATATACAGAAGGTGCCAAAAAATGCATACACATTTTAAGAAAGGCAAAAACTGTAATTAAAAATTTTTTTTTTAATTTTTAAACAATTAAAAAAAATTAAAATTGTAATACTCAATATATACCAATAACAAAAGATGAATACAAGTCATGTTTGACTTCTGCAATTACAAGAGGTGCTTAAATTATGCTTACCATTAGCATAATTTTAATTCAGTTTTTTCCTTTCTTAAAATGTGTATACATTTTTTATCTCTCTCTCTCTCTCTATACACACACACACACACACACACACACACACACACACACACACACACACATATATATATATGGGTATAAATATAGATCTTAATGTGTTTGTCTGGTTTTGGAGTCAGGGTAATGGTGGCCTCATAAAGTGAGCTTGGGAGCTTTCCCTCCTCTTAAACTTTTTGGAAAAGTTTGAGAAGAATAGGTGTTAATTCTTTTTTGAATGTTTGGTAAAATTCACATGTGAAGCCATCTGGTCCAGGACCTTTATTTTTGGGAGTTTTTTTTTTTGGTTACTGATTTAATTTCATTAATAGCTATCAGTCTGTTCAGATATTCTGTGTCTTTTTTATTCAGTCTTATAAGATTGTATGTTTCTAGGAATTTATCCATTTCTTTCAGTTTGTCCAGTTTGTTGGCATATAACTGTCTGTAGTATTTTCTTATAATCCTTTGTATTTCTGTGGTATCAGTTATCACTTATCTTTCATTTCTAATTTTATTTATTTGGGTCCTCTCTTTTTTTATCTTGATGAATCTGACTAAAGGTTTACCAATTCTGTTTATTTTTTTCAAAGAACCAGCTCTTGATTTCACTGATCTTTGGTAATTTTTTAAGGCTCTATTTCATTTATTTCCACTCTGATCTTTATTATTTTCTTCCTATTTCTTTGGGCTTTGTTTGTTCTTCATTTTCTAGTTCCATTAAGTGTAAGATTAGATTGTTTATATAAGATTTTTTCTTATTTCTTGAGTTACATTTGTTGGATTGATCCCTTTATCATTATGAAGTATCCTTCTTTGTCTCTTGTTTTAAAGTCTATTTTGACTGACATAAGTATTGCTACTCTAGATTTTGTTTTGTTTTGTTTTCATTTGATGGAAAAAAATATTTTCTATACCTTTACCTTCAGTCTGTGTGTGTCTTTTGATCTGAAGTGGGTCTCCTTTAGGCAGCATATGTATGGATTTTGTTTTCTTCTCCATTCAGCCACCCTAAATCTTTTTATTGGAACATTTAATCAATTTACATTTAAAGTAATTATTGATAGGTATGTAGTTATTGCTATTTTGTTATTCATATTTTTTGTCTTTTTTCCTTTCCTTCTTCTTAAAGAAGTCCCTGTAACATTTCTTGTAATACTGGTTTGGTGGTGATAAACTCCTTCAACTTTTTCTTGTCTGGGGAGCTCTTTATCTGTCCTTTAATTCTAAATGATGATTTTGTTGGGTAGAGTAATCTTGGTTGTTGGCCCTTGCTTTTTATCACTTTGAATAATTCATGCCTGCAAAGTTTCTATTTAGAAATCAGCTGACAGTCTTATGGGAGCTCCCTTACAGGTAACTAACTGCTTTTCTCCAGCTTCTTTTCAGATTCTCTCTTTGTCTTTAACTTTTGGGATTTTAATTTAATTATGATGTATCTTGGTGTGGGCCATTTTTGGGTTCATCTCATTTGAGACTCTCTGTGCTTCCTGCACTTGTATGTCTATTTTTTTCACCAGGTTAAGAAAGTTTTCCATCATTATATCTTCAAGTGGGTTTTTTTAGTCCTTTGTTTTCTCTCTCTCTTCATCTTCTGGTACCCCTACAATACAAATGTTGTTATATTTCATGTTGTCAATGAGGTCCCTTAAACTATCCTCATTTTTTTAATTATTTTTTATTTTTGCTGTTCTGATTGGTTGTTTTATGCTACCTTGTCTTCCAAATCACTGATTTGACCCTTTGCTTCATCTAATCTGCTATTGATTCCCTCTGATATATTCTTCATTTCCGTTATTGTATTCTTCATTTATAACTGATTCTTTATTATAATTTCTATCTCTGTGTAAGTTCTTACTGAGTTCATTGATTCTTCCTCTAAGTTCAGTAAGGAACTTTATAAGTGTTTTGAACTCTGTATCTGTTAGATTGCTTGCCACCATTTCATTTAGATCTTTCTCTGGAGTTTTGTCCTGTTCTTTCACTTGGGATGTGTTTCTTTGTTCCCTCATTTGACTGCCTCCCTGTGTTTGTTTTTGTGTATTATGTACATCTGATATGTCTCCCAGTCTTGATAGGGTGGCTCTATATAGTAGGTGTTCTGTGGGGCTCAGTAGCACAGTCTCCAGGGGTGTCCCTTGTGTGAATTGTGTGTGCCCTCCTGTTGTAGTTGAGCCTTGGTTGTTGTTGGCATATCAGTGGGTGGGATTGAACCTCAGACTGACTGTCTGTGAAGGCTGCTGTAATTACAGCTAATGAGCTGTTGTGTGGGGGCTGATCCCATAGAGCAGAATTTGTTTTCTCACGACTCTGGTTCCTGCTGTGTTCACCCTTTGAGTGTGTTACTTGTGCAGCTAATTGGGTGGTCTTCTGATGTGGTCTGAAGTTAGCCATCTGGTGTGTTGGTTCTGGGGACTCTTGGGAAGGACGTTGGTGTATGCTAAAATCAGCCTCTGCCTGTGCCTGGCCCAGGGTCACCTGGTAGGAGCTACAAAGTGATCTGAAGTTGGTAGCTGTCATTTCTGGACTTGGAGACACCTTGGAGAGGGTATACTGTGAACCAAGATCAGCTGCCACTAGTGCTGGGTTTGCAGCTTCTTAGCAAGAGGTACAGTGCATGCCAAGGCCTGCCACTGCTTCTTTTGGGTTTGTGGGCCTTTGAGAGATTTTAGAAAAGTCTGCAACATAGGCCAAGGCCAGCTGCTGACAGAGGTTCAAGCTGGTGTGTGAGTTGGGTGGGGTGAGGTCTCAGGGAATCACCAGGGCAAGATGAGCCATGTTTGCCATGTTAATAGAGACTCAGACTTGTTGCCTGCAGGCTGGGTAGGGGGAGGGTTCAACAAAGGAACAATGGCATCTACCAGCATGTCTGTCTGGCAGGGAGAGCTGCGCCTCCAGCCTTTTCCCTGAAGCCAGACACTTCAGTTCCTCCCTATATGTCCCTGGCACTTTTTGAGCTGCTGTACCTTCACTAGAATTTAGGGTGAGTGTTTGTGAGTGAGTGAGTCTGTGTTTGGGCCCTTTAAGGGGGTGCCTGAGCCTACAGCAGCCCTCTATCTCACCCAGATGGAATCCCCACTGATTTTCACAGCCACGTGCTGCGGAGACTCCTCTTTCCAGCACTGGTGTTCTGGGCTGGGACTCTTCACTCCTCAGGGGGTCCTCCACCGCTGAGATATTCCTTTCATTCTTAACTGCCACTAGTGGGTGTGGGACCAACTCATTTAGCATCTCCACCCCTCCTACCAGTCTTGACATGGATTCTTCTTTATATCCTTAGCTACAGGAGTTCTGTTCAGCTAGTCCTTACGTGGTTCTCAAGTTCTATAATTTAGTTGTAAATTTGATGTGGTCATAGGAGGAGGCAAGCACAGCATTTCCTTACTCCATCATCTTCACTGAAAGTCTGGGCTCAGCTTTTGAATTTATCATAAACTGGCTACTGTTAGTTTCTGTTTGACTTGTCCTTCTCTCATTTGAAATCAACACATCTAAAACTCAATTAGTTTTTCTTCCAAACCAAGCTATCCTTATTGGCATCTCTATTTCTGTTTCATTTTCATACAAGTTTCAGACTCTGGAATTTTTTTTTCAGTCTATCTTCAGCTACTCATTTTATCCTTAATGTCTTTTCATCCAGTGCATGTCTTTGTCACATGAACTTGAAGCTATCTCCACATGGAATCCTTATTTATGGACTCTCTCGCTTCCAGATGGTATACTATCACTGCCAGAGAAATTTTTCAAAACCATATATTGGCTCATGTCACATATCCTTGCTCACAAGCCAACTACATGACTTGTTGGAAAAATAATTTATTCCAGGTCTGTGGCAACATAAATTAAAAAATGCTCAGGACATCTTGTGCCAGAAAGCAAGTAAATGTTCAAAGAATGATAAAGATACATCAAAAGTCACAGGATTTTATTTGAAGGAGTGTTATCACTGGCCATATTTGGACCATCTGAGCAGCTAAAAGAATAATAATGGTTATGAATTATAACACATTGAATTAGAATACCTATGAGTGTACAATAATGCAGAAAGAGAGGCAGCAGAGAAAAAGTGGAAAATAGAAGTTCTTCTGTGAGGTAAAATGATAACATAAATTCAGAAGAAATGATAGAATTAGAAAAGCAATATGTTGCTTTTGGATGACCAATGGATATGAGGATCATCAGTAGATGCTAAATTCGTTAGTTAAAATGTCTTTAGGAGCAGGATATGACACAGTCTCAAAGTACTAACTCACAAATTATTTACTAATTGCAAAGTGGAAAATGTACATTTATAGATCTAAAGGAAACCACCTTAACCAAGAGATCAAACTTAACATCACCAGCAGCAGTTGAGAGACCTATAATCTACCCACACTAATCAAGTTTCTTGCCATAAAGTTCAACCCAAGTCCAATTATGAGGAAACAATCAGAAAAGCCCAAAATGTAGAACATTCCAAAGACAAGTAGCTGATATTCTTCAAAAACAATTTATTTAATATCTAGTAAAACAAGGCATTGAGATTAGAGTAAATTAAAATAAAATAAAGAAATATAAGCTCATGCATAAACTTCATTGAATCCTATACAAAAAAGCAAAAAACAGCTACAGAATAATAGAATATCTTTATTTTGGGGAGATATGAGTTGATGTATTTAGGGGTAAGAAATCATAATGTCCGCAACCTACATTAAAGTGAGTCAGCAACAAATGTGTAAATACACATTTGCATGCACACATACACACACAGTGCAAGCAAAAGTGGTAAATATTCACAAAAGGTGAGTTTAGATAAAGGGCATACAGAGGTTTGTTGTACTACACTTTCAACTTTTTTGCAGATTTGAATTTTTTTAAGTATAAGGTTATGGGAATGAAAGCTATTTGCCCTGAAGGAGGAAATCCAGCCTCCTTGATCCAGCATTCAAGACCATCTTCCACCCAGATCTGCCAAGCTGCACTCACTTTGTAAGCCACACAGGGTTATATTGTGTCTTATCAACCTGTCTCCCTGGCATTAGCAGTGTGTCAATCCTGTCTTCATAACTTCTCTTCTCCTTTGTAGGAACCCCCTCTTAGATCAAACCCATCTACTTATTCTCATAACTCTGCTTGTGCTTATCTGCCAGAGAATATTGCTCATTCTCTCATCCAAATGAAAACACCCTCCTCCCTATCAATCCTTACTTGAATATAAATATGACCTTCTAGGCTAACACCTGATATTTCCCCTCATATTCCTATATGTGAAGACATTCAAATATCATCAACATAAGAGAAAACAGAGATCATAGTTTATGATTCTTAGAGAACCCACACTAACTAGAAAATAACGTCTTTAATAAATAAGTGTAGATTGATCACATCCCTTCACTGCATTATGTATGAGGTGATCATTATTTTGATATCAAAATTTCAGAACAAAAGGAAGAAATTTATTAAATTAACTAGTTGCCTCTGAGGAATGCCAAACAAAAAGTCATTTAAAAACTTGTTTTCAAGATCAGGTGGGTTTGGATTCAATGTTTCCATTTTTATGTGGACATGTGTTATTATATAGAGTGGAGTAGACTTGCATGAGGATGGGAAGGTACCTATCTGATTATTTATGCCCAATATCCCCTTGTCTCATTCTATGACACTAACCTCCTTCTTCTATGTTTAATTTAGACACTGCTGTCGATTATCTTTTCTGCCCTTGGAATCGCTTTTTCTGGATACTGCCTGGTCATATCGGTTTTGGGCCTCGTCCAAGGCCCATACTGCCGCACTCTCAATGGCTGGGAATATGCCTTTGAGGGCACTGCAGGACGGTAAGGACTAATTCCCCAAATCAGGGAGGTCAGAAACACCTGGCTTCGTGGTCATGCTCATTTTCCATGACCACTTTGGGGTTTCATGTGGCTAGTTTAGTGTAGAATTTTACTATTAGTTTGCTAATATCCAGACGAATATGTTCCTGCACAGATCCTTGTTTAGATATTTTTTCTCCAGTCTTTTAATGCCATGTGCATTCACTACTTTGAGGCTGTCATGGAGATATCCAAATGAAAGACGTGTTTCTCTCACCCTTCAGAACAGCTTTATGGTGATTGTGGTCTGCTCACTGCTGGAGCCTGGGACTTGAGTGGTTCTGGGAAATCAGTCTTGTTTTGTGGTTAGGTGGGACATGTGGTATATTATAGATGTGAAAGGGCTCGGCTGAGAGAGAATCACAGTGCCCTTGGTGGTGCCACCCAGGGTCATACCAGCAGGGGCTACACAGAGATAGAACAAGATAGGGTGAGCAGAAAAGTGCAGTCAGACCCAGAGACATGACTAGGTACGGAGTTTGTCAAAGGAGCCAGGAGCTTACCTGGCATATACTAAAGAACAGCTTAGGGAAGCAGCCTTACTCAAAAGGCTGGTAGTTCAGTCAGGTGTTGAGAGACCCAATCCTGGATCACAGAATGCCTCACACTGACATTGCTCAGGGCTTATGGGCTTACCAGCACTTGCTGAAGCAGCCCAGGAGATAGCAGAACCCAGACAGAGATACAGGAGAGGGACATTGAATCTCTTTCTGTCTTATCTTGTGGTCAGAGTTCTAATGGAGTAAAATGAGAGTGTCTTTACCATTCCCTGGGGAAGTTGCATTTTCTTCTCAACTCCCCAGGGCTGGCTTTATTATTCAAGGCCCACATCTATTTGAGGTCTTACATGCTCACCTGGACTGCATGACAGAACTGCTTCTGCCACCTTTATTCTGAAGGTTCAACAAGGTCCTACCTCCAGAGCCCTCCCTCAGGGCAGGAGAACCCAAAAAGTAACCTTAGGCCTTTCTGAACACTTGGAGGAGATACTCCTGTGGGATTGAAGGACCTCAGGAAAGAAAGCTCCAAGGTAGAAAGTCCCAGTGGGTACAAAAAATCCTTTTTTATATCATCAACCCCTGAACTTTTCCCAACCCTAAAATCAAAGAAGCTTCCCCTTTTAATGCAAGAACCTCAGGCTGCCCACATGCCTCTTTATTACTCCTTTAAAGTTGCCCTTGATATTTGCAGTCACCTGTTTCCAGCTTCTTTATTCCTTCCAGACTGTGCTAGTGCACTTATGACTCTCCATGGTTTACAGGAATAAATTATACCAAAGTCTGGTAGACAAACAGAAGCACTGCAAGTCATCTTGCTTTAAAGTGTTAGGTGATCTGTGCAGAGCATATACTGGACACAGTCTAGGGTAAAGATTTTGAAGAGATTAGCTTCCCTGGCTGAGACTGAGTTAGGAGCATAAGGGTTCCTGAAATGGGTCTAGGGAAATGGCAACAGGAAATTAGATGTGTATTGTGCTTTACAGGTTCCAAAGTGTTCTTATGTAACTCTCACTGAACAGTCACAACAACCTTAGGGTTAGATATTTTAAGCCATTGTCCAGATAAGACTCTAGAGGTCAGAGAGATAAAGTCGTTCGCTCAGGATCCTACATATCCGGGAGTTCTGACTCCGTATTCAGTGCTCTTTACCACTTGAGACCTAATGGCCATTGGCAATACCAAGAAATTCTCAGAGTGCCTCTGAGGATTCTGGAGCATAAAGAGTAGGAAATAGAGAATGAAGGGAAAGGAATAAGAAATAAATGGAGGGGAAGAAAGAAAAACAAAGAGAAGAGAGATGTCATGATGGTGGTCACCAAAATGCAGAAGTCATCCCTTTCTACCACAGGCACTAATTTCCAGAGCCACTTGGCTGGTCCCCACATTGCCCGAATTGCTGTTCTAAGAAAAAGCATCTTGCTATCGACAAAATATTTATAGACAACTCTGCCCTGCAAATAGGTTTGACTGTTTTTCTTGGGGGCATTTTTTGGAAAGAGACCAGTATTCCATTTTTATTTAGTTGACCAGAGAGAGTGTCATCCTTAGAAGTGCTAATGGTTATGGTAGACCTGAAAGTGAGAAAAAGTTAGTCAGATTGACTCAGTGTGGTGTTAAAATTATGTTGGAAGTTGTTTAAGTCTCAAAATCCTGTGCTAAGCTAGTCTGACCAAATCTTTCAGCCTTTTGCGGTTCCACTTCATAATCTAACTCTTCTTAAGGGCTGCAGAACAGCAACATTCTAAAGCTGCATTCTCACACTGTGGACCCTAGACCAGCAGCATTACCATCATTTATAAATGCCATGTCTTGAGCCCCATAAGACCTTCTGAATAAAAAACTCTGTGGTAGGGCCCAGCAATCTGCATTTTCACAAGCCCTCCATAATCCTGGGGTTTGAGAACCACTGTTCTAAAGGGCAGTGGGATGGAGTCTAGAAATATCTAGCAGAATTTTGCTTTGTTATTTTGCCCCCTATGTGATTTTATCTCCAGTGCAAGGTCAGCTCTGTCCGCGGTAGCCAAGGCTGACTTCTAGACTCTCAGGGAATGTGCAATCTTTACCTGTCTTGGTATTGACATGTGCTGCCCTTCATTGCTATTGAACTCTTCAGTATGTGTCTCGCTTCTTAATTGAATTAGAATTGTCTCAGAGACAGTCACCATATTTATAATGAGCATACCCCAGTGTTACTCATACTATACTTTTACTATACAAGGTGTGGTCACAAAATATGGTGAATGTTTAAATTTTAAAAAATTTATTACAGTAAAAGACACATTGCCATTAATCCCATTCAAAATACCCCCCTCACTTTGAACACTCTTATCCCATTGTTTTTGCCACTTTCTGAAGCAGTTCTGGAAGTCCTCTTTGCTTCATCCTCCATCATGACAACGCTCGGTGTCACACGTTGCTTTTGGTATTGCAACATCTATCAAATAAAAACATTATAGTGTGTTCTCATCCACCTTATTCACTGAATCTGGCACCCATGTGACTTCTGGCTCTTCTTAAAAGTCTAAATGATGATGAAAGGTAAACATTTTGGGTCAATTCAGGACATCAAGTCAGCCATGACAGCACAACTAAAGACACAAAAGAGAACTTCCAGAACTGCTTCAGAAAGTGGCAAGAACAATGAGATAAGTGAGTTTGAAGCAAGGGGGAATATTTTGAGGGGGATTAATGGCAACGTCTTTTACTGTAATTTTTTTTAAATTTAAACATCCACCATATTTTCAATCACATCTTGTATATACCCGAATGATTTTTTAAAACATATTCATTCATATTTAATAATATTATGTATTTAATCATACATATTATTTCCCCAAACATATAGCCTTCCCCAAACTGTAGCCTTCTTCTCTGGACCAAGTGTGTGGGCTTGGCCATGGGTTTGTTGACCATTTTCGCCTTCGCTCTCAGCTTCCTTACAGATTCCAGCATATGGATTCAGTGCCTTGAACCTGCACATGTGGTAGAGTGGAACATTATTTTGTTTTCCATTCTCATAGTTCTCAGTGGGCTTCAAGTGATCATCTGCCTCATCAGAGTAATCATTCAGTTATCCAAGATACTGTGTGGAACCTATTCAGTCATCATCCAGGTAACAGACTCCCACTGGCAGCTGTACTCCCTCCTTTTTACCCCCACTGCCCAGGGTTCAATGAGTCTCATTAAATGGCTTGTAGAATTCCATCATTTTCTTTCCATTCTTAATGCCCTCATCTCTTTTACTCAACCTTTAATACCTTATTTCTTTCTCAGTATTTCAAAGTGTCTGTTGGCTTGTCTATGTGGATTGAATCAATGGAACAATTGTAAAATCTGCCTTCTGTGCTGTGTGATGAAAACAGCACAGTGTTTTGAATGAGCAGCATTTCAGTGTCCTGTGTGGCAGTAACCCAAAGCACAAAATAACCTTACCATTTATTGAGAATTTCCCTGATCATAAAATAATCAAAGGCTCACATGCTTATCCCATTGAAATAATTTCTTTTTAATGCTGTCACATTCAGCTAATAATCTTTCTTTATGCTGAGTTATCAGTGAGTGGTTTTTCAAAGAGAAATATGTTTTTATCCTATTGAAACTACTTTTGCTTCATCTGCTAAAATACCAATGTTAATTTAGTCATGGTTGAAACTGATAAACCTATCCAGCAAGTCCAGAGTGAAGAGAAATCATGAATGAGATAAACTGTGCTTTGTTTAGCATCATATAATGTATAATATAATGTATTGTATAATACTTTTCCTAGCAGTTTCATATAAATATTTTCTTATGCCATTATGTTTTGAATATGAATTATAAGTTTAAGTTGCTACCTAGATTATGAATTATTAATCAAGTCAAATTTACTGCTTTACTTACTTTTGTTTTCCTTTCTTTTAATAGCCTGGAATCATTTGAATAAGGACAAGAATGTTTTCCATTTTCAAGTTATGGTCATATATCTAAGTGTCATATTTAATATTCAAATGATGTTTTCTTCATTTAGTGTTCATTGTACCCATTTGTGAAATTTACAGTCCTCACTGGAAGTGCAAATTATGCCACCCTTCCATTTAGAATTTTTTTTTTAAAACAATACCATGTATGTGTCCAGATCTTTAGAACTATTCATGCCCTTTGATCAAACTAGTCCATTTCCAATAATCTATACTATGGAAATAAATGAGTACAAGATAAAAATTTATGCAAATTTTTTTAAACATATTTCAATATTATTTAATATTCTGGAAAATTAGAACTACCCCATAAGTCTAAGTTCAGGGGAAGGATTAAGTAAAGAGTGGAACATTAGTTGTAGTATTATATGGTCTTTGCAAATGATGTTTTAAATATTACGAATAGTTCTATGTGAAAAAGCAGATTGCAAATTTATGTTTACAGCATAAGCATAACTAAAAGAAACAAAACACCTAATAATCAAAATATAGGATAAAAACTACATCTAGAAAAGTTTACACAAAAATGTCAACTGTGGCTGATTTGGGTAATAGGTGATCCTTTTTCTTGCTTTTCTATATCTTCCAAGTTTTCTTTATTAGTTTTATATAAACTTACATAACCTAACTGAGCTCTTGGCATCATTTTCTCACTCTTGGTGATGAATGCAGTGGGTTGCAAGAGACAACCTTGAAATAAATGAGCAGTTTGAGGACATATTCAGTGGGTTAGAGAAAGTGACCACTGACCAGTAGATAACTGTCACAGGAGTTATCACTATCTGTATTTATTTTTAGTGCTTTTTTTTTTTTTGGAGTGGAGGGTCCAGGGAATGGTGTGTTTTTCCAGGACCCATCAGCTTCAAGTCAAGAACTTGTTTCAATCTAGTTGTGGAGGGCGCAACTCAGTGGCCCATGTAGGGATCGAGCCTACAACCTTGGTGCTATGAGCACTGCGCTCTAACCAACTGAGTTAACCAGCCGTCCCTATTTTTAGTTTTTTAAGCAAACATTTATAATATTTCTACCTACACTTACCATGCCCTCCTTGAGGATAGCAGCTATGTTTTATTTTTTCCCAATACCCATGGGTCCTAGTACAAAGTGAGCATTGCAAACACTCAGTGTTGGGTATTCTGTTTTTCGTGGCTGCTCTGCTGAGTACCTGTCTCCATCATAAGCCCACTGGACCTTAACACTTCTACCACTTCCCCGTCACTCTCCTCCTTGGACACTGTCAACAATGCTCTGTCAGTACCTGCTCTGTGCCAAAGCTGGGCAGTAGTAGCCAGTAGTATGGAGAATGCCTCTCTCCTTGGTGCCTTACAGTCTTTAAGGGAAACTGCCTAGCCTACAGCCTTTGCTGAAGTGAGCATCTTGAAAGCAAGCCATGTTGTGTACTACATGACCCCCATGCCCTGGATCCAGCTGACAGAACCATGACAGGAACTCAAGCCATGGGCAGCCTATTGTCACCCTTGTGGCCTCCTCCTTAGCCTAGAGTGTAACATTGTCCAAACAAGATTGGAGGTCGTTCTTGTTTGAGAATTTGTACTAGAAACCAAGAATGAAGCAACCCAGGCATTGCTGTCCAAAAAATTAATAATAATAATAATTAAAAAACAAAGAAGGAAGCCAACATAGAGAGAATACATGATTACTCTGTCAAGCCCATAAACTCATCATGCCCAGTACCCTCTTTTTTTAGTTCTCCCAGACACTACTCTGTCCTCTTGTAAATAGACTTTGGGCAGGTCAATCCCACCCGTTTGTCAGACACATTCAGATGGTCTCAATCGTGTTTAGATTCAATATGGTACCATACATTGAGTGGACCATGAATAGATGTCAGCTGAATGACTCCACCACAGAACTGGAAACATTGTTGAAAAACAGAGGCACAGTCAAATGTAATACAATATATGCATCCGTAAATTAAATATTAACACAGTCACCCAAAATTTAGTATTTAAAGAGTATATGCCAATGATGCAATTTTAAGTAGAAGAGCTGGATACAAATCTATGTGTGCAGTTTGAGACCAAGTTTTTAAAATAATCATATAATTACAGGTAGACATGTATGAATCTTCAGATACATAGAAAAAAGACTGGGAGAATACCTTAAATGTTAATAATTATCACCTAATGATGAGATTATGAGTTATATTTCTTTACGTTGTTCTATATTTTCAAATCTTCCTTTGCGAATGTATTACTTGAATAATTAGAAAGAATAAATATCATTTAAAAAGTATATATGCTCTAATCTTTTCCACAAAAATCTATCTAAAGAGCTTAAAATAGGAAAGAACTAGACATGAGATATGTGTGTGACCGCACTTTTTCTTACCCTTTTTAGGAGATACTCTTCATTTTTTAATTTGCAGAGAGACTGAGTATTGCTAGCTAATCCTAATTGAGAATGATTTCTATTTAATGCAGTTATACTCTTCTATTTATTATTTCTCTCTTATTTTCCTTGCTTCTATCTCACTGTACTGCTCCTGACTTCTTAAATTGAATGCCTAGCTTATTTAATATTCAACCTTTCTTCTTTTAATAAGTATCTAAGACTATACATTTGTTATTTAAGTACTACTTTGCCTGTATCTCACAAGTTTTGAAATGTTGTATTTTTCTTATTATTCAGTTATATTTTCTACTTTTCTTTATGATTTATGAATTTTTAAATGTGCTTTAAAATTTCCAAACATATTTTTAAATTAATTTCTAACTTAATTGTATTGTGATCATAGATGGTGGTCTATATGGTTCTCATACTTTGAACATTTTTAAGGCTGTTTTATGGCTAATATTTGTAAATATTATATATACTTAAAAAGTAAATGTTTCCTCCAAATATTGGGTGAAGGCTTCTACAGGTTTCCATTAGGTCAAGTTAATTTTGTTGTTCAGATATTCAATATCTTTGCTTCTTGTTTGTTTGCTTAATCTAGGTTTCATATGAGGATTAAATGAGTGTATATTATATATATATATATATATATATATATATATATATATATATATATATATATAAAATAAAAAACCAGTGTTTGGCACATGGATGAGATTTATATAACAGTGTTTTAAAGATATACTCTTAGAGTCAAATTGCTCAGATGCACATCTGGGCTCTGCCTTATTAGCTGTGTTACCTTGGTGAAATTTACATAAGCCCTCTGTGCCTCAGTTTCTGAATCTGTAAAACAGGAATAATAATAGAGTTGTTGTGAAGACTAAGGTAGTTAGTACATATAAAACTCTTAGAAGCAGGGTGACTTAAATCTGAACTGAGATATAGTTGGAACAGTTTTGGGATGGCTGAGACCTGGAAATCTCAAAAATACAACAGAAAAAGAAGAAGATGGAGGAAAGTGATAGGCTCACAGCAACAGCATAAGGTCAGAAGTTTGGGGAGAGAAAAAAAGGCAAAGGTAAGGGACAGGCATTACTAAGCTAGACAAAGTATAAGAGAGGAGAAACACTCCTTTTGTCATGTGCTTGGAGACTGGGAACATAATAACCATCATACTCAGGTTCTAAAATGCCAGCTCCTGGCCTATATACTTCCATTCTACTGAAAAACTATAAGAAATAGGGGAAATACAAGGTTACTATTATGAAAACCACAACCACT